GTGCCAAGGATTTTGGGTCAGGGATAGTCAACCTGTAGTATGACCTTGATTTCATGGATAAGGTTCAGAGAGATTCATTACTCACTCCCCACTCAGGGTCACGGTTCACAGCAGGATTTGAGCAGGCGCTCCTCACATAGGAGACCCAACTACAGCGAAGCACTTGGGACATCTCAGAGTCCCACAGTGGGATGGGCTGATGGAGCGGGTGTCTCCTCCTCACCTCACAGCCAGAACCACCTCCTTCCCCACTGGAGGAAACAAGCAGCCTGAGATGGCAGTGACTTGCCCAAGGTCCCGTGGCTGTCCACTGGCACTGCAGGTCGGCCCAGGGGTCATTCCACTCCACACCATGGCCTTTTGCCAAGAAAGGAGAGCTTTGCAGGGTAAGGAGCCCCCAAGAAGGACAGGAGTCTCCCCCAACCCCTGGGGTGAGCAGGGGCAACCCCAACACAAGGGGTTTTGCAGTCAGGGCAATTAACCAGAATAAAAGGGACCAAGGACATCAAGTTCCATACCTCCCACCCTGCCACCATCTTTGCACTGCTGGGACCCTCTTGTCTTGATGTTCCTGATCCAGGATGATCACTCAACCAGAGGTCCTCAAACTTTTAAAACAGGGGGCCAGTTCACTGACCCTCAGACCGTTGGAGGGGTGGACTATAGTTTAACAAAAAAAACTATGAACAAATTCCTTTTTTTTTTTTTTTAAACTATAGTCCGCTCCTCCAATGGTCTGAGGGACAGTGAACTGGCCCCCTGTTTTAAAAGTTTGAGGATCCCTGCTCAAGGCAGTTCCTCGGTGGGAGAAGTGGATCATAATTCGCAGCAACGCTTAGTGAGTATTCCAGGTGCCAGGCACTCTTCAAGTGCTTTTCAGGTATGACATCAGGTAATCCCCAAGACAGCCCAATGAGGGGATCATCATCACTTTTATTTTCCACATGAGACAGTACAGAAAGGTTGAGTATCCAGTCTAGCACCACAGAGCTGTCAAGAGAAGGAGATAGGATCCAAGCCAACTCTGTGTTCTGGGCCATCACAGGAGCAACTGTCCAACACCAACTGTGTGTCAGGCTAGGCTTGGGACACAGGAAGGGGTGCCACTGCCAAATGCTGTCTCAGTGGGGGCTTTAGCAACGTTCAAAGTACTATGCTGGCCAGGTTCGGTGGCTCAGCCTGTAATCCCAGAGCTTTGGGAGGCAGAGGTAAGTGGATTGCCTGAGTCTACAGGTTTGAGACCTGCCTGGGCAACTTGGCGAGACCTCATCTCTACAATAAATCAAAAATTAGCTGGGCGTGGTAGCGTGCACCTGTAGTTCTAGCTACTTGGAAGGCTGAGATGGAAGGATCGCCGGAGCCCAGCAGGTCGAGGCGGCAATGGCCGGGAGCGGCCACTGCACTCCAGTCTGGGTGACCGAGTGAGACTCCGACTGAAAAAAAAAAAAAAAAAAGCAAAGTGCTATGCTAATTGTAGGTTCTATTTATTCTTCCACACTAGTACTTATAGAATGCCCCTGGTACCAGGGACCCAGCAAGCCAGTGGTCACATCATCGCCAGTCCCTGCAGCCCCCTGCCACCTGGCTCTTAACAAGATTATCCCCATTTTTCAAATGAGGACACTGAAGGTGCAAAAGAGAACTGCCTTGTCAAGGCCACAAAGTGCTACATGGCTGGATGGGGTCAGAGAGGTGGCTGGCAGGGGGATGTGCCAGGCCAAAGGCACTGCCCAGCCACTGACTACAGAAGCTCAAGAGCAGAGTATGTCCAGGATAAGCAGGAAGTGCCAGCCCCCTGCCCAGGGCAACCTGTGCCCACCCAAGGGCCAGGTAGGCTGGGAAAAGCATTAGGTGGTTTTGATATTTTGAAAACTGAACAGGCAGGTGGACTGGCAGGAGTCCAAAATCACCCAGGACCACTGAAGGGCACAGGATAGTGGCCAACTTCAGCCCACAAGACCCCTGCTGTCATCTCTGGGTCTGGCACGAGGGCAAGTTAGGGACAGAAATGACTGTAAGTCTACTATGTGCCAGGACTAGATCATTGATTTATTAAATTTACATCCTAATCTGTATCCTGGCTGTTTCCAAAGAGAATTTGTCCAGATATATAACCAAGGGCACTGATGATAAAGTTGACAGAGAAAGGGAGAGGAAGTCAAGGTCAAAGGAGAAAGAACGCAGTCCACTGGGAGGCCTGGTGTCCACTAGCTTGAGGGCTTGGATAAGTTTTTCTTAATTTCCATTGGCCTCAGTTGTTTAATCTGTGAAATGGGGATAGTAACACCTACATCACAGGTTGCTAAGGAGCTATGTACAATAATCCACATAAAAAGCAAATGGTAGTAATTGTCATCAGTCACCATCCCTGGGCCCATCCATAAAGGTCACGTGTTTGTGATGATTGTCCCAAGACTGGTGGTGATAAATGTCTACTGACAAGAAAGGGCTTACAGGGTGAGAATATGCACTCACCAATGCTTGCCAAGGGTTTACCAGGGCCAGACACAATTCTCAGTCCTAGGGACTTACAGTAAGGCAGACAAGTCTATGAAGGGAAAAATCAGGCCACAAAAAAGTATTTGCAGATGAGCCTGTTTTTGTTAGTTTTTTTTTTTTTGAAGCATATATATTCATGGAAAGGTACAAGGATATTAATCAAAATGTTGACAGTGGTTGCCTTGGTGTGCTGCAATTACAGGTGGCTTTTGTTTTCTTTTCTGCTTTATCTGTACTTTTTACAATGAACACATATTAAATAAATTTTTTTTAAATGCCATCAAGGGCATTTTTAAAAATTGTTTGAGATTCCTGGCACTCAAGGCAAAAAAGAAAACACTAGGAACACCACCCATACCCATCCCTCAAAAGAAGCTGTTTTTCTTAGCACTAGAACTTACACAATGTCGTTGAGAACACTAAATACCACAAAAAATGCCCCCAAACTATTTCTCCATAAACATGGACATGGCACACCCCGTAAGTGTGTCCTAAATGTTTTTCAAATAAGTGAACAAGCGACCAAACACCAAAGCTGTCCTCCTTGAGCAGTGGCTCTCAATCAGGGGTGATTTTGCCCCTCAGGTGACATCTGGCAATGCCTGGAGGAAAGGCCAGGAATGCCGCAGAACATTCTCCAATGCACAGGGTAGACCCCCCACAACAAAAAAAAGCCCAGCCCCAAAAGTTAATAGTGCTGAGGCTGAGGAATCCCTTCATGGCCTCCAGCCAGCTGCCCGTATGGAAGAGGTAACCTGAGCCAGGGAGCCTGAGCTTGCAAAATGCTCTCTCTCCCCTCTAAACTCAGGAGGCCTCATCACTAAGAGCAGGAATCTGGAGTTAGACCGACTGTAACTTTAGTCCTAATCCACCTTACCTGGTTTCCCATCTGTAAAACATGGATAGTACAGTGCTTGATGGCTTATTAATTATTGTTTTTATTGGTTTTTCTTTTAGAATATGGACTGCTTGGATATTAGAGGGTTTTTTTTTTAATATCTAACTTTTTCTTCCCCATTAAACTGAAAACTCCTCAGGCCCCACCCCCACGTAAGTTGCTTCAGTGTGTTTAGCAGTGCACCAGCTCACTCTAGGAACTCAGGACACAGTACACCTATGAGGTGGTCCCACCTCCCTGGAGTTTCCATCTGAGATCTGAGAGGGGTGGTCTCAGTACAGGGAGAGGCCTGCAGAGAGGATCTCATTAGGGGTATGACAATTGTGGACCCCAGTCTCAGCCTGGAAGAGGAGCCCTTCTGTCCCAGGTCCTCCTTCTCCTATCCCCTCCCCACCCACAGAACATACAGCAGTGTTGCAACTCACCCATGCTTAGGACAACCTCATGCCATCCCTTGGGGGCAGGGAAAGGGACATTGATTAACTCATAGCTCCACGCAGGAAGACACAGCCAGGAACAATCCTAAGGTCTAGGCCATGCAAACAGCACTCACATGGGAGGGGGTGGTGCTGCCCAGCTCTGAAAGGAAGGCAGAAACTAGAATCCTACACCACGAGCCTCTCAAGCGTAGGGTCTGTGTTCTGTCTCCCTCCCCCTCCTAACCCAGAGCAGAAGCGGCTCTGAGAACATTTGTCATTGGGTGGGCGAGGGTCCAGGCATTCAACTGCAGTACTGGAATTTGCAAGTCTGGGTTTGAAGGACAACCCCATCCCATAACTGCTCCTGCATTTCTTCGTTATTAGGAATAATATCTACCTCACAGGAGTGAGAAGTTTAAACAAAAGTAATAACGGTGATGGTGACAACAGTAATAACCGGGCATTGCCTACAGACCAGGCACTGTTCAGTGCACTCTCCGTGTATTAACTTGTTTTAATCCTGACGATAATAATACATGCCAAGTGCCTGGGGCAGCATTTGGCTCACTCTGAGCACCCATAAGTATGCCACCTACCAGGAGAAAGGAGTCCCTCTTTTCTGTCCAACATTTAATTTAGAGGCGGCGAGGCGGGAGGGAGGAACAGGAGAAGAGAAATCCCGTTAGAAGGAGAGGAGGGTGGGGGCGTCCGGGCCATCCCGGGGTGGTGGTCCTGAGTGCCAGACGAGAGTCGGGAGGCGAGAAGTGTGGGGTGCTAAAAACAGAGGCGCCCCTCGGGGGAAGCCAGCAAACGTCGACGATCCAGTATTAGGAGGGAGACGGTGGATGCGGAGGCTACTTTCGGAGCGTGGGACCCGGCAGGGCCCCGAGACCCCCACCTGATGGCAAGATTCGGGGAGGAGGCTCCCTTCGCGTTAGACAGGTGACTCCCTGCGGGAGACAGGCGGAGGGAACTAAGGGATCGTAGGGGAAGAAAGGCCTGGGCGGAGCTGCAGGGGAGCCCCTGTGGGATCCAGCGGGGACCGGAACGGCCTGGGGTCCGGTAGGGAGGGATGCGGCGCGGGGGGGCCCAGCGACTCCAAGGCTCCCGGGCCAGCAGG